TAGTCCATTATCAAGGGAAACTGAAGCAGGAGCCCAGGGTAGGAACCTGGATTCTCCTCTGCCTTAGTCTTTTATATCAGCTGCCATCAGAAGGTAACGCCCACATTTAGGATGTGTCTTCCGGCTTTAGATAATCCAATCAAGAAGATCTCTTTCATTTCAGTTAATCCCAGATCCAATCAAGTTGACAACCAGGATTAGCCATCATACTTGGTTTACAGTTAATAGTCCATTATCAAGGGAAACTGAAGCAGGAACCCAGGGTAGGAACCTGGAGGCAGAAACAGAAGCAGAACCCCCAGAGAAATGCTGCTTGCTGGCTTGCTTCTTTGGCCTGTGCTCAATCTGCTTTCTTATACAGCCCAGGACCACCTGCCCAGGGGTGCCAAAGTGGGATGGGCCCTCCCACATCACTGAACAATCAGGAAAATACCTTACAGACATGCTCATAGGCCAATCAGATAGAGGAAATTCCTCAACTGAGGTACCCTTTTCCCAGGCATTTCAAGTTGACAACTGGAGCTATCTGGCACATACTTTACCACTGAGATACAATTCCAGCCTTCAGCTTTATTGACACAGGGTCTCACCATATACCCCATGCTGTCTTTAGACTGCTGATCCTCCTGCCTCTGCTTCCTGAATGGTGGGATTACAGGGATACAACAAAATGCCTGCCTTGGAACATGCATTTCTTGTGTGGCTTTAATTTTTTTGAGCAAAAGTATGAGAGAGAGAGAGAGAGAGAGAGAGAGAGAGAGAGAGGAATAATATAGAGAAAAATAGTTTTCAGGGTCATGAGATTATAAGTAATTCGTCTCTTCATTTCCCAATATGTCTTCAATGGTAACAATAAAAAGACTTGGAAAACTGCAGTTCATTCATGAATTTTACATTTTACTGTACCTATTCCCAGAGAACTTTGCTATTACTAAGTAAGGTAATAGAAATGATTATTTTTTTAAAGACAGGAGCTCACTATGCAGAATCACTGGTCTTGAACTGTGACTCCACTTTCCAAGTACTGGGATTACAGATGTGCACCACCACCATATAGTACCACATGGAACCTCCTGGAGGAATTTGAGAACTTTGTATTTCAACTCAGTGTAGCTGGTGAATGACTAAGTAAAATATGCCACCAAAACAAAATAGCGAGGGTACCAGGCACTCAAATAAAGGGAGGAACAATTGTGTCCTTTCTGAGAATAGGCAGAGCTTCCAGGAACTTGGGTGCCACTTCTTTTTCATTCCTTTTCTGGTCTATTGCTTCTTGTCAGAGCAGCTGGTTGATATCTTGGGCCTTGAAGTGGGAGAGAGAGAGATTAGTAAGTCTAGGTCAAGTTAAGTCCTCATAGTTCTAGAGAAAACATTCCTCACATGATCAGCATATTTCCATGCAGAGCTAAGAAGAGGACTCTGACTGAATGTTACAGCAGCAAAGGAGACAGACACAATATCAAGCTCAAGATGCCAAGCCTTTGTTTCCACCTTTCTAGTCACCCATCAGATGTCTGGACCGGCAAGTGAGGGGTCCGTGTTTTCAACAAAAGGTGACTTCAAGTCCCTGAAACCCATGTGACAGAAGTCAAGTCCAGAGAAATTTATTGGGAGAACAGTAATGTATTGCCCAGCTGTGTGACCTCCAGAATGAATCAGTTTTGAGACAACTAAGAATGTGTGAAGCTACAGGTTTTATTTAATTTATTTTTTTCAATTAAACAAATTAACAGCACCAAGCAGAAAGAACCAGGCAGTACTAGGGGTTTTATATAATGTTTATGAATGTAGGCTCTGAACCAAACCATGGGCTTTAACCCTAACCATTCACAGTTGCTATCTGTGGAATCTGAAAGGGGCTTAAGTCTCCTAACCTCAGTTGTGTTAGCTTTCCATTACTGTAACAAAATACTTGAGTGAAATAACTTATAAGGTGATAATGTTTATTTTTAGCTCAGTTTAGGGAGCTTCAGTCTAAGGTTCATTGGCCCCATTGCTTTTAAGATTGACAACATGGAGTTTCAAGGCAGGGACCATGTGGTGGAGGAAGGTGCTTACCTCACAAGAGCCAGGAAGTGACAACAAAGAAGAGCTAAGGTTGTGGTCCCATAATCTTCTGTAAGAATATGTCCCCGAGTTTCTAACTTCTATCAGGCCACATGTGCCTTTTCAAGTTTCCCCATCCCAATAATGTCTTGTTGAGGACTAGGCCTTTGGCGGGGAACTTTGCTTATGTGAACAATGTTTACACATTGATGAAAGGAAAAACGATATTGCAGAAGAGTATAACATGAGGTATAGCTGTTCTGCCTTAAATTGTACTCAGAATTTTAAATTATAATTATGAGTTTATTATTGCTTTTCGAATCTCTCTCTCTCTCTCTCTCTCTCTCTCTCTCTCTCTCTCACACACACACACACACACACTTCCCATAACAGTTTCAGTCTACCCATCCTCTGCATCCAAATCTGCTTTTTCCCCTGGGGTCCCTGTCCCACTCAGGCAGGGGCTCAGCAGTCTGGGCTCCTCTATAGGTTGGTTAGAGCTGCCCTGCTGATTGCAAGACTGTTCCTTGCATCTTCACTGCTGCTGCCCACATTCATGCCCCACTCTATCCTCTAATTATTTTCCTTGCTTGTCCTCTTTTCAATTCTAGTCTGTCCCTCTGTTGTGAGTCAGGAACCCACACTTCTGACAGATGAGCCTTTGCAAATAAAATTCTGTTCATGGAACTGAGGCTTTAAGTTTGAATATCCATTTACTTAAACATGTAAGATTCCTTAGTACAGAAAAACTCTTCCATGATGCAATATGTGAGGTCCAGATAAACCTTGCCAGCTAATACACAGAATGATGTCATTGTAAGCTTAGTGAGCTTTTTGGGAAATCCTAGCCATCTGACTGCTCAGGCTCCTAAGCCTCTTCCGTAAGACTCAAATACACCCCATCATCAGCACTGTTGAGTGTTATGCCGTGAAGGTTGGCTGCCCATGGGAATACCCTGAGGATGATTCTGGTTGATAGGCAGAGCCGGGGAGGCTGTCCTTTGATAAAGATACAGAAGAATCCAGAAAGATACAATCACAAGTCACAGAGAAGACTGTTGGTGAGAGGCTGTGGTGTCAGTAAACTTTTGAGTTTTCACAGGAAGAGCGGCTGTTAGCATTGTGACCTGGCCACCAGATGTCTCTCTGTGTTTCCCTCCTTCTTAGTCCAGCAACACAGTTATATTGTTCCTCTTGGGCTTATCTGACCCTGGAGCTATGATTTGGGAAAAAAATACTTTAACCTAGTGTTATGAACACAGATTTCTGCTACTCTGGACAATGCTGGGAAATCTCAGAAAGATGTTTCCTCTTTGGATTTCTGTTTATCTTCCATCTGGAAAGATGCTTGAAAACCAGCCACATAGGGAATATTTTCGTATATGCTGTGACATCCTAAAAATAATATAGTTGGAAAGATTTTGAATGGGGATGATAACCAATCTATTTCAAATTCTCTTGATTATTAATTTATTTCTAAATGAGTTTTGTGTCTCTTGTGTCTTTTTCTGAGGGAAGGAAGAGATAAGAAAACCTACAGTTATTCTTGTATAAAAGTTTATTTTGTTCACCTTTGGCCAATCTTTCATCTTTGTTATTTGGAATGAAGGGAATTTCCTCTAAGCTGTGTAGCACATAGCCAGAATAATTGTTTTCCTTTTTTTTGAGATGGGCATTCCTATGCTGCCCAGGCTGGTTTAAACTTTGTAGTTCAAGGGATCCTCTTGCCCAAGCACCTTCAGTAGCTGAAACTATAGGTTCCACATCACTACAATTGGTTTCACATTGTTACCTTGATCTGTATTTACTGAGACCCCTTCTGCCAATATCATCAGCAGCAGTAGCTATGTGTTGCTTTATAATCGTGACTATACAGTTTTGAACCCAAAAATATGTTGCTGGATATTAAAACAAACTCTAAGCACTTTCCTTACATTTATTTATTTATTTATTTTTTATTTTATGCATATGAGTGTTTTGCTTGAGTGTGTATTCATGCACCAGGTGTGGACAATGTCCAAGGAGGCCAGAAGAGGGCACCAGCTCTCCTGTAACTGGAATCAGGAATGGTTGTTAGCTGTCATGTGGATGCTGGGAACCAGACCTGAGTCCTCTGCAAGAGCAGTCAGTGCTCTTTTGTCCCAGTCCCTTTTAAGGAAATGTCCCCTAGTAACTAGAAATGGAATGCACTGTCCAGTTCCAGTTTGCTCAGGTTTGAAGTATCAGTAAAAGAAAAGCAATAGCTTTTTGACAAAATCCAATTTATGTTGGTGCTTTCTCTGTAGTTTTGACCATTCTTCCCTAAGACTAGATAATATTTTGATATTTTGGCCTGTTAAATGGTTTGGAAACGTCCCTGTATTGTGTGTCTTCCGTTCTCATCTCAGTATGTGTTTGATTTAGGAGATTTCAGTGGCAGTGCAAAGTAACTAATAACCAATTCCATAATGTTTCATTTTACCAAACTATTAAGATTATCACTAAGACTACTACCAAAGAAAACCGTAGTTTTCTCTTTACAGACGTTTTTAAATACTAACAGGTTAAAAAGTGGATACAGGGGCCAGTAGGATGGCTCAGTGGGTAAAGGTACTTGCCACCAAGCCTTACAACCTGAGTTTGAGCTCTGGAATCCACATAGTAGAAGAGAGCCAACTCCTGCAAGTTGTCCTCTGATCTGTTACATAGGCCTTGTCCTCGGACTGGTAAGCTACAGTTTGGGTCCCCGGTGGAGGACAAAACTTCTGTGCTAGTTTGACTGAGTATCTGTTTCCCAGAAATTGGAAAGTCTCGTCCTCTGGAAAGTCTGCCACCTGGATTCTGCATGTTGATCTCCGCTTGTGCCTAAAAGGACCTGAAGCAAACAGCTACATAGCTGAGTCTCTCCCTGGACTCTGTCCGGCCAATCGGATCCTAGTGACTCCCTTCCCTTGCCCCTAGGCCCTGCAGACACTAGAGGTTGTCCCACTCTCACAGCTCCTCCCCCTACTCCTTGAGACTACAAATCCTGCCCTCACCCAGTGCTGATAGGCCAGTGTGGGTTCCTGAGCACTGCTGGGCTCCGGGGCCTCCAGGCCGAGATCTCTGCACCCCGAGAAGGTGAAGGTGGCAGGTGAGAGCGCCTGGAGCTGGCGGGGGCTGCAGGCGACCCGCAGAGGCCAGCTTTAGAAGGCCGGGGCCGGAGATTGGACCGGAAGACTGAGGGGTAGTTGTCGTATACCAAGAGTCCCTGGGAAGGAAGGCGGCGCTTGGCGCTTGTTTACGGAGTGGCTTCTCTGGAGCCTTCCTATCGCGGGGGCTGTGAGGCTGGTCCTAGGGCTGGCTCAGAGAGGTGCTGGGTATTCTCAGCCAGGCCTAGGTGCAGCACCCTTCCTCCCTCCCTACACATACACCTCGCCTTCTCCCCTCGAATCTGCCTAACGATACCTCTTTTCTCTGTCCAAATCCTAGCACTCTTCCGTTTTCTCAAAACTTCACCCCACGTTGTTGGAACCCCTCCTTTCTCCTGAGTATGTTTCCAGGTACTTCAGAATCAGGGTGCCAGGCAGGTCCTTACCTTCAGAGAGCTGGGAGTCTGGTGAATCCAACTATCAGTGAGAAAGGATTGCAGTCCACAGTCAAGGGCCGAACTGGGGTGGAGCAGGGTGGGGCAGGGGCTTTTGGGTAGCACATCAGCAGCCCCGTGGATGGGATTCTCCAGCGAAGCTGGGAAGGGTGAGTAGTGGGAACCTTTGTCCTTGATCCTCTTCTCCTCTGAAGCCCTTATGGAAAGGGACTGGACTTCGCCTCTCCCGGCTGTGTCCTGTGTGTCAGCATCTTTTCTTCCACCCATGCAGATGAAACAGGACCTAGTTTGGTCTGCTGCTGCCGCTGCTACGTTTAGTTAATTGTTTCAAAATTGGATCGATGCTGACAGTAAATGGATTTAAAAGATTCCAACGTAAAATATTTATGAATTTTGAAGTGAAAACCAAGAGTTCAATTTCTGGGTTTTCCTGCACCAGATCAGTTGAACCTCAAGAATGTGTTGAGTGACATTTCTTCTCTGCTTCCAGACTCTGCACCATGGATACTCTCTCTGAAGCAAATGGCACCTTTGCTATCCGCCTTTTAAAGATGCTATGTCAAGACAACCCTTCACATAATGTATTTTATTCTCCTTTAAGCATCTCCTCTGCTCTAGCTATGGTTCTCTTGGGAGCTAAGGGAAGCACGGAAGTCCAGATGGCTCAGGTAAGTTGCCTGCCACCCACACACCAGCTATCACATGCTTCATTCTCCCTTAAGGGCTGCTGAGGAAGAAGGGTGAGACAGATGTATGCATAAACCAGCTCCTGGAGGACATGGGCCCTGGAGGAAGGAAGGTGGAGTGTCTCTTCAGGCAAGACTTCTTTCGGGGCAGGGAGTTTTTCTAATTAGTAATCTGGAGAAGGCTCAAAAATTTGTCCAGAACTTCACTTAGAAAATGATAGGAAGATAATTTCCTGCTGGGCCTGGTGGCACAGACCTGTAATTCTAAGTACTGAGGAGACTGAGACAGGAGGATACCAACTTCAAGGCCAGCTTGGGCAACTTAGTGAGACCTTGTCTCAAAATAAAAAGTAAAAAGATCTTTTCAGAAAACAACAAAGGCAGGGGTGGGGGATGTCCAGTGTGGTTAGGACTGTAACTCAGTAGTAGAGTGCTTGTCTAGCATGCCTGAGGCACTAGGGACTGCAATGGAAAAAAGCTGCTGCAATTACTTGCACCATAGATTGCTAAGATCTATCTCCTCCCCCCAGCAAAAGTCTGTGATTATCCATTGGTGAGGAACGTTAGCCTCTACTTCTAATCGTTACCATAACAACTTGCCTTGCATCAATTGAGAGCTACAAAGGAGGCTAAAAGGCATGCAGCTAGCCCACATCCAGATTAGCACTGGTTGGCTCAGTTTAACAAACATTCTGTGAGCACTGGAGGGGATTAAAAATAGGTCTCTCTCCCCAGGGGGTGGCAGGACAGGCAGGAGGCGGGTGCCTGCATACACTTTCCCACTGGGAATTAGTCACTTTTGGTCTGTGGTTTGGTTTGGTGTGATCGTCTTTCCCATGAAGACCCTTTCAGGAGTGACTAGATATTCTAGTCATTTCCAAGCTCAGTGCATGAGAACATGAAAGTATGTACAGGGGCGTTCTTTATATTTCAGTCTTTACGGTTTACTAGCTTTTAGGCTCAGTAATAAACACTTAGAGCATGCGTGTATATGTGGCCTATGTGTGTATATGTGGCCTATGTGTGTATATGTGTGTGAGTGCTGGTGTGTTCCCCTGTATGCAGAGGACAGAGGTCATCGTTGGATGTCTCTGCCTTCCTGCACTGAGATTACAGCTATACACCACCATGCCCTTTTTGTATAGATACTGAGGATTCGAACTCAGATCCTCATGCACTGTACTGACTGAGCCATTTTCCCATCCTGCAAATTCTTTTTGAGACCAAAATGTTTCGTTATTGAGTCCATAATGTTTTTATTATTTTCCTTTACAGGCACTTTGTTTAAACACAGAGAAAGACATTCACCAGGGCTTCCAGTCACTTCTCTTTGAAGTGAACAAGCCTGGCACACAGTATTCACTTAGAACGGCCAACAGGCTCTTTGGAGAGAACACTTGTGAATTCTTCCCAGTAAGTTGATTCAACCAAAAAATTATATTCAAAATACATATTGGTATAGAGACCGGGAGAGGGATCCTAAAGAACTTGAGAAAATTAAGGACCATAATTCTAAACAATATGGTGGTATACACCTATAATACCAGCACTCAGAAGACTGAGGCAGGAGGGTCATGAGTTCTAGGTCAGCCTAGGCTGCATAGTGAGACTGTATTAACTCCTATCCATCTCAGAAGACCACAATTCTATAATTATAATAATACTTTGAATTGTTTCAAATTTGATTACTTCTAATTTTTATGTATTCATCTCTGGTTATTCCTACTTACAAACTCTAATATTTCAACACCTAGGACATGAGATGTGACCTGCTTAAAGGCATATGTACACTCATTTTATTTTTTTTAAAAAACCATAGTATTCAGAATGTTTGAAAACTTGCTGACCCATCTTTTCTTCAATGTAACCTCACTGAATACTTTTCTCTTCAGACATTTAAGGATGCGTGTCTTCAGTTCTATCAGGCCGAGCTGGAGCAGCTCTCTTTTGCTGAAGCTGCAGAGAAGTCCAGGAAACATATAAACACTTGGGTCTCCGAGCAGACTGAAGGTCAGGATTTTAAGTCAGTTCACTCCCGATTCCTTCTTTTCTCTGTCTACCCTTCTCTTCATTCCTTCAATCTTTCCCTCCTTCCACCTTCTCCCTCCTGACCAATATCAGAGGTGTTTGGAGGGTCTGAGTAATGTTGACTAGCTGGGCCTCATGGTCTATTTGGACCTTAGTAGATTCACGGAGGTTCTGATCAGACAGATTTTTAACAGGTTTTTCAACAACAGGGAATTAATTCTGCATGCGGGGACTTCTTTGGGCTTACAAGCTAAGTAGTCCAGCAGTGGCTATCTGCATGCTGGAGAGGCTGAGACGCCAGTAACGCGTTATACAGTCCAGATGTCATGAGAACTCACAACCCAGCTTTCTAATCTTACAGTTTACATTAGAAAACACTGGTAGCCTGCAGTGTTCACCTGTCAGATGACTCCACCACCTCTGTGAGATGGACATTCATGGACAGATCTTCTCCTGATTCATGCTTGGAGTGACCTCCTACAGTCTGTGTGACCTTTGACCCCACCACCTTTACCTGTTCACAGGGCTTCTACTTCTACATCTCCTACTTAAGGACCTTTACTTAGACTTGCTTGGTGCACTACAGATGCATTGTCAGGGCCGATCAATTTCTTTTTTATTTTATTTATTATTTATTTACTTATTTACTTATTTACTTATTTATTTATTTATTTATTTATTTGAGTGTATTGTCTTAATTAATGAAAATAACCATATTGTTTTCTAAAAAACTTTTTGCACCCCTCTTCTGACTTTTCTAGTTCCCTGTCTAGAACTTGTAATGCTAATTACTCTTCCCTTTATTTCTCCTTCACATCTCCTAGTCTCGATTGAAGGA